CCCAACTCTCTAACATTCGTTAAAAATCAACTCAAGCTTATCCAGAAATACCATTAGGACTGACTGGACCTTTGTCAGACTTTAGAATCATCACGATGAGATGCAGTCAGTTTGATCCAAGGAAGGGGAGAAAAGGCTCAACTTTTCGAATCAAAAGCACCCTCATCAGCATGTATATATATATATATATATATATATATATATATTATATATATATATTATTATATATATATATATATATATTATTATATATATATATTACTACCATATATATATATATATATATATGGTAGTATATATATATATATATATATTCATATATATCCTCTTCACATCCAACGTAATTTACACTGAAGTGAGAAACAGCAACTTCGCGAGAGTATTTTAGTTGCTTCTGCAATTGTCTCTCCATCGTGACTTACTAAAGAAAAATAAATCTAATTATATCCCATCTTGCACATGCTTTCTCGCTTATTAACGAAAAATTGGCTTCATTAACCCGGGAGACTTTCGCTAAGTTCACTCTGAAACTTATTCCAGGTCAGGGCTGCCGGAGCAACTGTTGATACTGTTTTAACATACTTCATAATGATTAAAAGTTCTTTACTATTATCAGTAGTAGTAGTAGTAGTAGTAGTAATAGCACTAGAAGTAATAGCAGTAGTTGGAGTAGTAGTAGTAATAGTGGGTAGTAGTAGTAGTAGTAGCAGTAGTAGTATTAAAATGGTATAAAATACCGACAGGTTGTTAGGTAAGACACATATGCAACAGTTAGGTATCTTTATTGTTTCATACTATGGAACAATGCTCTTCTCCAGACTGAGGGACTGACCACCTCAAAACTTTAAGGGTGATGGACTGATTACATCGTCTTCAAGTATCTTCTGCTTCTATCAACTTTTCTGTACTTGACTGAAGAAGCCTACTGTGTAGGCGAAACGTTTCATAATAAAGATACCTAACTGTTGCATATGTGTCTTACCTAACAGCAGTAGTAGTAGTAAAAGTAGTAGTAGAAGCGGTAGTAGTAGTAATAGTAATAACAGTAGTAATAAAAGCAACAGTAGTAGTAATAGTAGTAGCAGTAGTAGTAGTGGCAGTAGTAGTAATGGCAGCAGTAGTAGCAGTAGCAGTAGTAGTAGCAGTAGTAGTAGTAGCAGCAGTAGTAGTGGCAGCAGTAGTAGTAGCAGTAGTAGTAGTAACAGCAGTAGTAGTAGCAGCAGTAGTAGCAGTAGCAGTAGTAGTAGCAGCAGTAATAGTAGTAGTAATCATTATCATTATATTATAATTATTTTTGTTGTTCTTGTTGTTATGTTGTTACTTGTTGTTTATACACCTGTTTGTTTTTTTTTCTATATGAATTTGTCGCCGTTAAGCTTGAGTTTCTGGGCTCCACCTGTGACGTGTTAGGGCGCGTACCCAGGGTACAGGAGGCACTACCCCTCTGACCTGCAGCGTTGAGTCAGTGGAATAGATATCTAGCCGCCCTGGAATCCCCAGTTGTCTTGATGCGTCTTTTGCCTAGCTCCTAAAGGAACTTAGATGCACTCTCTCCCCATGAACCAAGGTTTTCTGAGAATACGGGAACAAATATATAATGATTAGCAACTTCACCGTATTTTCTAGATATTTGGGACTCCCTGAAGCTGGCAGCTGCCCTTCCTTCCTCCCTGGAGTAGTGGAAATAGGTATCAGCCAGTATGGATGCACATGTGTAGTCCCACACCACCTGATTGCCGTCTGTCCAGGCCTGAAGGTTAATTTTATCTGGACACTTTTGGTTACCATCAGATCTGTATAGTCGGGGTGGCTTCCTTATTGCTGGGTATCCAGCTGTTGCGAGGCTCCTCTTGATATTATTAACCAATTCATGTCTTGCAATCTTTCCTTCAGATCTACAGCAAACAAGACCGTAGTACCCGAATCGGTCTGCCGATACACTGCCGCAAATGCAATTGTGTTCGGCGAGAATAGGGGCGGCAAGACGAAGAACTACACCAATGCGGATGGTCTTTCAATTGAGACGTGTGCCAAGGGAGGAGTTGGGGACAGCCAACTTGAAGTCCCCTGAATAAGAAGCTCTCACTGCTAGGAAGACAGGCTCTATCCTTCCCCGACACACTCTGAAGCATTGTTGAAGCTATATTCTTCACTATTGGGCCATCCCAGTGTGGCTGTTTCTAGTAGTTGGGGGGAGGGGAGGTCTGGTTTCAGTGCCCCTTAGAATATCCTAGAGTCTGGCTCCCTCAACGAACTTTTGGTTATAAATTCCAACATTGTCCCTAAGGTGTTCAGGGAGAATCGTTGCTACAAGTCCACTGGACGCCACGCATGAGGACAAGAAAGTAGGTAGTGCAGTCTGTGATACCTTACGGGTACAAATACCCCCTAGTCTGACTGGAAGTGTATCTTGGTCCCACTGTCCATCTTCTAGAGTAAGGTTGAGTGAGTACTTCTGTAAAAATATACCTCAGGATACTGTCGTATTCATGCGGTACAGGGTTATCATACGAGGGTGAACATTTTAGGAAATATGTTAACCTGGGCAGAAACAAGTACTTTGTGAGAAGGTACAAAGTGAGAAATACTTGGACCGAAATATAAATTATTTGAAAATGTTTTCTGAATATTTCGGTCTCTGGATTCCTCTTTAATAAACAGGACTACATACTACAGAGTTATAGTAGGGAGGTATATATGTAAAGGACTGTATGTGAATTTAATGGAAACGATTGGAGAAGAGTGGACGGATCTGGTTGTTTGGTTGTTGGTAAGGGGGGGTCCAATAAGCCTCATATGGAGGCTAGCGGCTGCACAACAAGATTAAGTGTTGGAATGTAACATAAGTGGTGATATTATCAACTGAAGTTAGGTTTGGAACTGATGAGCATGACTTAAATTATTTTTCTTTTTAAGGAAATGATATTTTGTGTAAGAGTTTGGAGTCTCACCAGTTGATGTGGCGGCTTAGCAGTCCATAACGAATAATTATGTTGAAGGTATATCTGACTGCTCTCTTATGTTATTCCTCTCAATCCCACATTCCTTGTCTCCCTCATTCCTTCCATCTGTCTTTCGCTCCCTCCCTCCCTCGCTCAAACTTCGATCACTATATAGTGTCATCCATTTGCAGGTGCTGCACTCCAGGAAGTTCTTCTCCAAGGGGCTCACCATTGGATGTTTCAAGATAGATGTGGCCACACTTTTTAAAGTTCCTGGTAATGATGGTTTAGTACATGATACATGTGATGTTATCTCTCTTTCTCTTGCTCTTTTACCATCTCAAATTGCCTTATTACACACACACACACACACACACACACACACACACACACACACACACACACACACACACACATACACACATACACACATACACTACGTGTAAGTGTTCCCACGTAGAAAAATTACCACACGCTGTGCTACTCTGAATACATATTAAATATTGTTTCACTCACTGATCTTGGAGTTTCTCTTCTTGAAGCAGCAGCAGCAGCAACAGCAGCACCGTGCACACCCTCATACACCCAGCTTAAAGCAGCATCAGCAGCGGTAGCAGCAGCACCATGCACCACTTCATACACCCAGCTTCAAGCATCAGCAACAGCAGCAGCAGCAGTAGCAGCAGCAGCAGCAGCAGCAGCAGCAGCAGCAGCAGCAGCAGCAGCAGCACCGTGCACCATCTCACACCGAGCTTAAAGCCATCTCATCTTTATCAGAGAGGCTGGACTACTTCCTGAGTAGGAGGACCTGGAGTCTTGCATTGATGCATTTATTTCAATAATATTGATTAAGACATTGATCAGTGCTCCTACCTACTCAGTGACTAGCCTCCTTTTCTACTCTCTGGTCACTTCCGACTGAGATTAACATCTCACATATAAACTTGGTGTACCATGTATCACCTGATGTGACAGGAGACAGACAATCACAGTTTGTACAGTGAAATGTACCGGTCAATATATGGGGTCTTCATTGCAATGTATACTGACGTATATATACTGACGTATATATACTGACGTATATATACCTGACAGAGCTTTATATTCACGGGAGAGTACCTTTTATGGGGATACCTTAATGCTGGTGATGGGCTCTTGTTCCAAGGAACGAGATTCACCCTTTTCATCCTCCTGTCAAACCTGATTGCCTCCCATTACCCAGGAACTGTATGACGTTTACAGGTTTAGCGTTTCATTGTAAATATAATATTAATTTTCAGTCAGTACTTGAAGTAAAGCAAATATTGGCTGTAAAGACTTTCAAGGTAAAGCTGTATTAACTGTGTGTCTGTCTGTGCTTTACTGTCTGTCTGTCTCACTGTCTGTCTACACTGCACCTCCCCACCACTGACTGATAAAATATCTTGCACTGAATCTTGCCAGTGCGTGGTCGGTCTTGCATCTAATGTTTTTTTTCGTGTTCTCTTCTCCCCTGTTTGTTCACGTGTGCCGCCGTCCATCTCCCACTCACGCCCACACCGTGCTCACACGCCCGCCCACACTCGCCCACGCCCATATTGTCAGGTGCTCCAAAGTCGTAACATCCTCAGGTCCAACAAAGTCCTGGGAAGTTTCAAGTTAGACGTGGCCACAGTGTGGTCCCAGTCAGGTAAGTCCCGCAGCCCGGCCAACCTACCCGTGCGCTCATGCCCAACCCACCTGCCCTGCCCACCTGACCCATCCACCAACCCTGCTCACCAGCCCGGCCAACCTGACCCATCCACCTGCTCTGCCCACCAGCCTACCTCACATACTCGACCTACCTCTCTCACTAAATCAAAACCTGCACATCTGTCTCTCCTACCCGGTCTAGTTTACCTGCCTCGACGTACCTACCTGTCTCACTCGCACCGTTTCGCCCAAGTGTTCCATCTGCTCTGCCACACCCAAACTCACTACCTGGTACAACCTAAGCAATCTAGCAAAACTGAACAAAACAAACAGAAGAATGAAAATAATAATACCGTTTCTGGAACAGTTCACAACTAACCCACGGGAGCTGGGCTGAGTTTTCGACCGTCGCAAACCGTTATTAACACTCGACTGAATTTATAATGGTCCATGATGACCGAAACATTGTCCATTTTCCATTTCAATACAAAATTTGGCTATAAATTTAAAACGTGTTTTGTTTTGCTTGAGAATATGAGAGAAATTCGCCCTCTGCCAATTAACCTATATATGCCTAGTTGGCAAATATACTTACAAATTATAGGAGAAATATCATAACACTGAAGGTTCAAGATGCAATCTGCATATACTTTGATAAATATTTCGCTCCTGGTATGTGTGTGCACCGAGACCAGCGGATATGTACGTGAAGGTAGGCATATATTAGGTAGGTATGTTAGGGATTAAAGTTTTCTTAACTGGTGAAGAACAGGTGACGTGCAGTCTTAATGACCGTTGTGTGTGGATGGGCCTGCAGCACTGTTAGTCAACCAGCCAAGTTTTCTTAAGAGACCATCACTACGACGCATGGCTGGCTCTACAAGACACTTGGTCAATCTGAAAGTGTGACACCTCACTCACTAAACACTTAGTTAACATTCACTCAACTAACACTAACTCTATACTGGCTTCCATAGTTAAGAAAGAAAAGTTAGAAAAGATCTGACTCCCATAGGTTTAACTGTATCACATAGAAAGGAAAGGTTTAACTGTCTCCCACAGACAGGAATGACGTAACGGGTCAAAGGTTAGGACAGACTTAACTAGCCTCAATACTTAGGAAAGAACTTGCTGACGTAGCACAGCTGTACAAGCTTGCTGGTTGGAAGCACTCAACCAGTTAACATAATTAAGAAATACCAAACTAGCTTGCATAACCATGAAGACCTTAATTAGCTTTAGTAATCAGAAAAGACTTAGCTAGATGATACAGTTAAGTAAGACTTTACCGGATAACATAATTAAAGAAAGTTTTTAACTAGCCTAGCCTAGAGACTTTATCTCGGCTTTCTCATTTCCTATCTTTCTGTTCTTTACTACCCAGTTCCTTACAACTCAGCCTTACGCCTCAGAGTCCTTCTCTACCATTATAGTCCTTCACGTCTCCTTATCCTCCTCCCCTTCACCCTCATACCTCCTTAGCCTATTCCTCACCTGCCCCGTCACTCATGTAGCAACTTTGCATCTAAGACCCTGTAATTAATACAACAGGTGAAAGTAAGTGCATGGAGCTTGGAACACAATATTAATATTTTAAACAACTCCGAAAACTCTGAGGGCTTAAGTGGAAAAGAAATTATGCCCACGTACATAATGAAAAGCCGAAATGAAAAACAATGCTTAATATACTTCTCTCTCTCTCTCTCTCTCTCTCTCTCTCTCTCTCTCTCTCTCTCTCTCTCTCTCTCTCTCTCTCTCTCTCTCTCTCTCTCTCTCTCTCTCTCCCTCTCCCCCTCTCTCTCTATCTCTCTCTTCTCTCTCTCTCTCTCTCTCTTCTCTCTCTCTCTCTCTCTCTCTCTCTCTCTCTCTCTTCTCCTTCTCTCTCTCTCTCTCTCTCTCCACAGACCATCAGTTTTACCACAAGTGGGCCTTACTGACTGATCCTGACGACATCACTGGCGGTCCCAAAGGCTACCTCAAGTGCGACATCTGCGTCGTTGGCAAGGGTGACGCCATCAAGGCTCCCCTCAGAAACGACAAGGACGAGGACGACATTGAAGGGTAAGTTTCCAGGAAGAGATATTCCTCGACTCCTAGGTCGACCTTAACATTCCCCAACCTCTGGATAATATTCTCTCTCTCTCTCTCTCTCTCTCTCTCTCTCTCTCTCTCTCTCTCTCTCTCTCTCTCTCTCTCTCTCTCTCTCTCTCTCTCTCTCTCTCTCTCTCTCGGAATACTCTGAAGGTCATCTGTAAACTGTCGTTTTTGCAAGGGCTAGCTTTCAAGGGTTATTTAGATACCCATGGTTATCTAATAAGATATCTATAGGTATCCCCGGGAAAAGGGGGGGGAAAAAGGGGGGAAATTCCAGTTTGATTCACGGAATAGTGTTATTTTGGGGTGTTACAAAAAACCCCATTCAAAAGCTTAGAGATCCCGTAAATACTAAAAAGGATTCCCCTTTGCATCCAGCCTTTACTGGGTTTTCGTAAAAGTTCAGACCCTTGTCCAATTACCTTTAGAATTCAATATATTCAATAGTGCTTCGGGATTACAATGGTGGGTCTAACAAAAAATTAAAATTTAAAAATTTTATTAGGTTAGGGTATATTAAAATTAAATTAAATTAAAATTAATCAAAATAATCAAAATAATTCACTTCTCTAAAGTACAATAATGCGCTAAAAAAACAATTCACATTTATAATTTTTTAAGAAAGCTGGTACTTAACTTTTTAATAAGTATTAAAAAATTTACGGTAAGTATGTAGTGTGTAAGGCTCTAAAGTTCGCTTTGTCTCACGACTCACTAGACTTAAACAAGGACTACAAAGTCCCAAAAAAAAACTAACTTTTTGACCAAGGCAGTCAGAAAAGTCTGTTGAACAAAAAAAAGAATGTAACCCCAATAGAAATGTAACAAGCAACTGCAACCAGAATCAGGAACAAGGAGATAATAAAACGACCTAAGTGGGGGGGACCTCTGCAATCCCCCCACAAAATCACAAAACTCCCTACATAAACTAATTCAGCATAAGAAAACCCCCGACTGTTTTTAAATACACGATCCCAGTACAATTTAAAAGGGTGAGAAGTTACAGCTAGGACCGATTTACCAAAGTGTTATCGACAAACAACCTCGACAATGTCGAAAACATAAGTCTATGCAAGGTTCTGTGAACAAGTTTACAGAACTAACAAAATAATGAGCAGACAATCTGCCCAACCACCAAGAGAGTCTCGACCCGATGAAACTTCGCAGGTGGGCACCCCCCCCCCCCCGATCACGTATGGTCCGGGCGCATCACACAGCAAGAAAAAAAAAGCCGGGAGAAAAAACCAAAGAGCATAATTACGTATTGACAATCAAACTTGAAACTGAGCACATAATATGTTACATCCTACCCACAAGTCAAAATAACATAAAACAATCATTTACGATTTTTGCTTTATCGCAAATATAAGCAAAATAAAATTAATGAAAAAGGGAATAATTAATTATACAAATAATTTGCAACCCCATTCAGGGGTTGAACCCCCCCCCCCCAACCGGGGAAAGGTCGCACTGGAGTTGCATTAATGTCTTTCACACTATTCTGTTATCATATATTTACAATTTATTATAAAAATTAATTTAGTCCTTTTGCCAAAGCACTCTCAATTTCAGGTCCGTCCCAGGATATGCCCCTAGTACAGGGGAGTACACGATCGTTTTCTGCATACTCGTGGGTTATATACATCTTTTTGAGACGGATAGGTAGATAGCAGGGCATTTGAGGTCGTCTAGTAAGGAGACTGCATTCCACTTTAAGTGTGGTTTGGAAAAGCGAGGCGTATGAACATTGAGTATGAAAAGCTTAAGGTGTGTAGTGGGGGGGGTCTGCGGCAGGGCATGTTGCTTTACGCAGTACATCGCCCACACCCACACCCACTCAACCTCAGCTTTGTCTCCTTACACACAACAATCTGTGAATATATAAATATAAAAATTGACATGAGTTTTAGTTAAAGGGTGGGGGGATTAAGTTACCTTACTGATTTTGCATAGCAATAACAAAAGGTATTTTGGGGGTCAAAATTACGTTAATTTAAAGTAACTGATAATTTTTAAGGACGTCAGAGCGTCGCAATTTCATTACAAGACCCACGGTTTTACAATAGAATAAGGTTGGATTCTGAGGGCCCACCTCATGATCCTAGCATTTTTACTTTTCATTAGTGTTAATAAAAGGGAGGGATTGTGGTCTGAAAAAAACGTTAATTTTAAATGGGGAAGTGCCCAAATACACGTCAAAATGTTCCAAGGACACCACAAGAGCTAGAGCCTCTTTCTCAATAGTGGCATAATTTTTCGGGTGTCGTTTAAGTTTAGATGAATAGTAACATATAGGATGGAGAATATCAGTGGAGGGTTGACTGTTGGAGCAGCACAGCACCCACTGCGTAACCACTAGCATCTATATGGAAAAAAAAAAGGGGAAAGATTGAAATTGGGACTTTTCAACACGGGAGAGAGGAAGCAAACGTTTCAACCTTTTAAAACGAGTCTGAACAATCTCTAGTCCAGGTAAACTGAACTTTGCTACTAGTAAGCTAAAGTGAGAGGAGCTGCAATCTGAGAAAAGTTTGGAAAAGAACCTGCGATAATATCCTGCCATACCCAGGAATCTCTGTACTCCTTTCCTATCCTGTGGCACTGGAAATTCAGAAATTGAACGAACCTTAGCCTCAATAGGAGAAAACCTCACCTTGGGCCGAAAACAAAAGCCTAGGTAGGTAATCTTGGCTTGACCAAAACTCCCATTTAGCTAAGTTAACAGTGAAGTGTAGTGCGCCATCTCTCAAACAATGCTCTGAGACGCGTCAAGTGTTTGTTTTCCACTCGTCAACTGTTACACCACTAAGTCGTCAAGGTAGGCTTCTACTCCTAAGTTGTGGGTCAACTCGTTCATTATACGTTGGAATGAAGAAGCCGCATTTACATAGGCCGAAGGGGGGTGACGAGGTAGTTAAACAATCCATCTTGAACAGTAAAAAGCAGATATTTCTTGAGCACGTTCAGTAAGCGGGACTTGATAATAGCCTCGTAAGAGATCTAAAACGGCTGACAAACTGGGCTCCTGACACACGGTCAATAAGGTCATCAATGCGAGGTAGAGGATAACCATCAGGCAAGGTGCAGAGTTCACTTTCCTGTAATCAGTGCACACCCTGAAACTACCGTCAGGTTTAGGCACTAAAAAATACGGGGGAGATGCCCATGGACTTTTACTGCGCTCAATAAGTCCGTGGGATAACAAAAAAATCAACCTCTTCTCTCAATGCTTTATGCTTTGTTGGACTCTCCTATATGGTGATTGCTTAATGGGTGATGCCCCCTGTACATCAACGTCATGTACACCTAGAGTACAACGGTTTAGGAACATCACTGAAAAATTTTCAGGAAAATGCAAAATCATGTTTTTATATCACTAGCTTTATCAATCCCCAGGTTACTAAGAAAATCGTCTAGTGATTGTAGAGTCACTGAATTTTCTAAACGAAACCTCTATACCTCTAGAGAATGTCAGGTTGATGCGTTTTCTTCCTCGTCCTGGGAAGAATAGAAGTAGTTGGTAGAGGACTAGCATAGTATGCCTTAAGCTGGTTAACATGGTACACATGATTAGATTTCTTTTCCCAGGCGTACGTACCAAATAATTTACGTCGCTAAGCCTTTTCACTACTTCCAGGGGACATCATACCGGGCTTGTAGAGCATGACCCTGGAAACTAATTTCCTAGCCCATCACCTTATCCCCTGCTTTAAAAAAAAAAAGACAAGACAGCACGCTTGTCATAATGTTGCTTCATTCTAGCTTGGGCTGAAACTAGGTTTTTCGAAGCTAGCTCTCTAGCGGCTGTCAAATGTTGCTGCATTAATGAAGGTGAAGTGCTCAATGATGGATTTGGATTTTCCTGTCCACACGTTTTTTTAACACTGCAAAGAGGACCACGCACTTGGTGTCCGAATAATAATTCAAACGGACTAAATCCGAGACTTTCTTGCTCACTTTCTCTCATAGCGAACAGAAGAAAAGGTATACCCTCATCCCAGTCTCTAAAAAAATGTTCACAATAAGATCTCATCATGGACTTCAGTGTCTAATGAAATCTCTCTAGAGCACCTTGTGACTGTGGATGATAGCTGGTTGAATGTACAGACTTTATTCCTAGGTGGGATAATGCTTCTCGAAAGATCTTAGAAGTGAAGTTAGATCCCTGATCTGATTGTATCTCTCGTGGCAATCCAACCTGGGAGAAAAATTTCATCAGCGCTCTCACAATAGCACAAGCATTAATTTTTTTTCATAGAATAGCTTTTGGGATAGCGTGTTGGAGCGTCAAAAATAGTAAATAAGTATTGGTTTCCTAGTTTGGTTCTAGGCAAAGGACCAACACAATCAATAATAAGACGTGAGAATAGTTCACCATCCACGGTGATAGGAATGAGAGGCGCAGGTGGAGGTGAGTGCGCTGGCTTGCCTGTCACTTGACACACCCTGGCAACGTCGCACATGATCAGCAACTGTTTCCTTCATCTTTGGCCAAGTAAAAAAGTTTTGCCAGTTTACCGAGTGTCTTCTTGACACCCAAATGTCCTCAAATGGGGCTATTGTGAGCAAAAATCAATGGCTTGTTCACGAAATGTAACTGGTAAACTACAAGATGCTTGACTGTGGTGCAAAACACTATCAGCTGACAAAATTGCTTTTATTTTTCTCCATCGTACAACCCTTACTATAAAAGTAACAATTTTTCGAGTCCTTTGCTTCACTCTTTAGTAACGCTATAAACTCTCAGTCTTTCCCGTGACTGATCAAAAAAACTGATCCTTGATAAATCATCATGAGTAAGAAATTTAACGTCAGTAGTGTTCTGACTAGGTTGATGACCAGGGGGAGTTGGTGTTAATGATCCTGGGCGCAGAGCGTCACTAAACAACATATTCAAGCCCAAATCATTGTCATCCACTGACTCAACAGGAGACAAGGATGGTTGTTGTATCTTTGACATATCTCTA